GTTGACTTTTTCAACTGTCCAAATATAGTAACTTTTGCATCTTTGATGATTTCTGAGCCAAATTTTGAGAATCATGATCAAGCATTGATCAAATGATGTTTGTGGCTTCAAAATGATATGTTGACCAAAAATTTGAACTTTTGACTGTCAAATGACCATTTTGCCCCTACAGTTGACTGTGGTGCAATCTAGGGTTTTGACTGTGCAATTTTGAGCTGAATGCCTTGAAACTTGATATGAGGATACTTGACCACATTTGTAAGCATGTGAGACTTGATTGGGCCTTTGTAAACTTCCTTTTCTTGATCAGAACACAAACCCTAGTTTTGACTGTATAGGAGACAGTTGCACTGCACAACCCTTGGGGAACCTTGCAGCTTGACTTGGCAATTTCTTGGAGAATATGGGAGGGCAAATTTTGGGGTACAACAGGCGCCTTTCTACATGATTAACTTCTACCATAAAATAGCTTTGGTCAGCTTCGATGTTTCCCGCTATACCATCGTTGCGCCAGATGGTTATTCTTTGGTGCATTGAGGATGGCACCCTCTTATTTCGTGTATTCACTCACGACCCAACAAAAAGTTATAATTGGCCTTTGATTTGACCACCATAAACATGGTTGGTCTTGTTATTATGCCAATAGTTAAGTCAACCTGGATAACTCCCAAGGTTGTTCCTACTTTACCCTCATAATTCGACAAAACCATATTATGTGGCTTTGTGTCCATGTCAGTTTTCCATATCTTCTTCAGGATAGTATGTAGCATCAGATTTACTGTATCTCCTCCACCAACCAATATCTTATTTATAGCCATGTTCTCCATATTACCTCTTATAAAGAGAGGTTTCAGATGGTTTCTCATAGCTTCATATGGCCTTTTGAAAAATGGCATTTTTCTCTTCGAAACACCCGTTATTCATCACATAATAACAAATTGGCATGTGTCTGGACATTTCAGCATCAATATTCTCTTCTGGCTCTTCGACCTCTGTAATTTGGTCGTACTCCTTTCCAGAACAGATACTACATTATAGGTGATGTCAAGGTCTAGCTCTGAGTCTGTATCAAAGTTGTCTCTTAGCAATTCATCCTCATTCCCTACACCTTCAACCTTATCTTCAAAATTTTCTACTTCAAAAAGCCTCCTCACTCTCTCACTTTCCTTCTCAACATCCTTCCCTTTGTTTGATGGCATATTACTACTTGATTTTGCAGCCATTTTTCTTTGGCCTCTCTTTCAGCTTTTCGCCTCTTCTGTTCCCTGCGCCATTAGGAGCGAGATATGGGATTCTTCCCTTTGTGTTTATTTGATCCATATGCTTATTATTTAGTAACCTTAAATTCCTTTCGATATTCCATCGAAGATCCTCTTCCAACCTCAAAATTCTTCCATTTAGCCTGGTCCTGATCCCACTTGTGAGCGGGCTTCACCTATTTCCCCTTAGGGGCTTCAACAGTTGGTTTGAAAGAAGACTGGTTGTTCGCACGAAACATATATCCTCCCTGGTTTTGTTTTCTCGGAATTCCCCTCTTATTGAAGGTAAACATGTTGTTGACAGTTTTCTGATTCCTTCTTTCCTTGATCCTTCGGCAACCTTCGATGTTTTCAGCAACCTTCTAGTCGAAGATCGAACTGCACCTAGGGCAGAGCATAACCTCATACTTCTTGCTATGGCACCTATGGAGAAACTCCAGCAAACTCTCAGTTTTCTTGGAAAATGCCACCTGGTTGTATTCTTCCTATCTTTTGGCCTCTTCGTCCACTTTCATCTCAGTTTTTTGTGAAGCTTCGACCATGTTCACTTCGACATCTACATCCTCAATGATGCCCATTTCTTATAACTTAACTATAAGGCCTTTAGTAGCCTTGGTCATGTCATCAACCTGCATGAAACAATCAACAGATTCTGTTGTTGCTAACATCTTGGTGGAATCCTCAGTGATTCCCTTTGTGAAACCTTCAGCTTCGACCATGACCACCTATGTGGCACAATCTTCAGTGACTGCCACCATGTTAATCAAATATGATTCAGCATAATGGGCCTCAGTTACTTGAAGGGGGTCAACATTAGTTCTCATCTGAGTTTTTGACTTCTCCCCAAATTTGAGCCTTCCTTCTTTGATTGCATTTTGAACGAGATCCCTGAAAAGAAAATATTGAGATGTTTTATGGCCCAAAAAATTATGATATTTGCATAAACCCCTCTTTTTCCTTTGCTCCAAAGGGGCTATTTTAGCACCAGAAGGCATTACCATTTGGCCATCTTTGACTAATAAATCAAAAAAATTGTCACATTTAGTGACATCGAAAGTATAAGTTTTCTTAGGGAATCGATCCCCCTTATCAGGTTCGACTGGGTTTTTACCATTTGAAGATGTCAAATCTTTACAAGAATAAGAGGGTCCTTGCTTAAGTTCAACAAGGTCTATTTCGCCTTTGTCGAAATCTAAAGTCTCTTTATACGACCCCTCATCTCCTTCATCAAATTCGGCATAGGCTATTCTTTCTTTTCTATTATTTTTACTTGCTCGAGCTTTTTCAATTTTAAAGTGTTCTATATCTCAAACCCTAACACTTGTCAATTCCTTCAAACTGATCTTAGTCCGTCCCATGTAAAATTGTTCATGGAACAACCTTTCTAATTGAGCCTAACTATGAATTGAATTTGCTGGTAATATCGTGAACCACATGAAGGCATTTTTCATTAGTGAACTTGGGAAGTATTTAATCCTAAGATTTTCATTACTGGCAATTTCACCTGCCTCTATTAGGTATCTAGCCACATGTTCGGCAATGGACTCAGTAGTGTCCCCATAAAATTTAGGGAGTTTCCACCTGAGAGGTATATCTTATTGCAAGATATACTCATTTAATGGTTAAGTGTAACTTGGCCTATGAAGGCCGACATTTACACCATTTTGAGTCATGATTCTTTCGATCATGGCTGCTAGATTTTTGTTTGTTGCCATATTATCTTATCAAATTTGATATATAACTTCATCAGCATTTTGGTTCCTATTTACCATCACAATCCTAGGTTATCCCTCCCCAGAGATTAGTGGTTCCTGCCTAAGAGGTTCGACTCTAGGTATTTCGACTGCCCCTCCCTGATTTACCATATTCTCCTGGGGTGTATTTCTTGGATTTTGTTGAAATTGGTTATTTGTTGGGTCTTCTCCAAGGGTTGCCCCTTGATTTTCTATTACCCATTCCCTTTGAGGACGTAGTGGGGGTTAAGGCACACCAAAAAATTCAGCGATGCACATCATTTGCACTTCTATTTGTTGGTTCGCTTGAGTGGTGTTTTGAAACAAAGGGTTAAAAATTGTACCCATTGTCTGTGCGAGCATTTGGACCATTTCATGGTTACTTTTATCCACTTGCTGCCTAATTACTGTTGCAGAGTGATTTGTCAAATTTGGTATTTGGGAAGAGAATCCTGCCCCAAAGGGTTGGCTAATTCGACCCAAATTATTAACAGCAGATCCAAAACCTTGTAACAGTGAAGTTACATTCATTACAGGTTATGAATAAGTCGAAGTGGAATTATGCAAAACTTTCATAAACGAAGTTAGCATGCCATATGGTTGTTCGCGACCATTTAGAGACAAAGAAAAACCAGGAGGCCCTTGAGAAAACATTTCCCCTTGGCCGGGGGGGTCCCTGGTGGACCATATGGTCCTATATAAGTCAAAATAGGGTCAGTTTGAACGTTCAACTGCATTGGTGTCGAACTTGTTGAAGACGGTATAACATCTAAAAAAGGCGTTGAAACCGTAGTTCCCCCTGTCGAAGAGACTGGGGGTGGAACTTCATTATTGTTAGGGGGATTTTGATTACTTGACTGACTTTGATTTGCCATTTTCCTAACGTATTTTCTTGTTGTTTGTGGCTAATTTATCACTTCTAAGTTCCATGCAACGGAATCTAATACAAGAAAATAATGAAGACTTCTCTAAAAAACTTTTCACAAGAACAAATATTTTTAATTGAACACAAGTCCCACTGGACGTGCCAATTTGTTTATCCTGATTTTTGGTAAACAAGCGCTAGTCTTCCAAAAAACAACAAAAGTTCTTGGTTACTCACAGGATCGACTAGATTGATCCTAAGACATGTGCTTTTATTTAAACTTTGTTCTTTGAAATGAAGAATACTTCGACAATATTCATAATCTTTAGATAATGTTTGTTTTGATCTAAATGAGTCTCTTAAAGTAATCTTACGAAACTTGTAAAGAAAGTGCAATAAAGGCAATTGAAAGTAAATTCTGGAATGATAAATTGTAACTAAATAAAAGATGGTGTTTACACATACATTTCTCAGATGAATTTTTTCTCAATACGCATATACTTTGAGTTTCTGTGAGATTTTGTACAAATGAATGAACACCCCAAATCCTAACACTAAGACTCCTATATATACTAACTCGAAACAACCGTTTTCAACGGTCTTTCGCTCAGAACATGACACGTTTCGCTCGACATGTCTTCCTTTAATCCTGAAGCTCCACACATCTTTTGTTGAAACTGGATAAGGACAAAAGTCAATTATTCATTACTCAAATTCAAAACTTATGTCGAATACAACATCTTCATTTGTCAAACCTACGTGAAAACTTAGAAAATATTTCTAAGTCTCATCCAACATTTCTCTCTTACAAATGAGTGACTTCAATCGAAATTTAATAAAACAAGTTTTCTCATCGAAAGCCCCAAATATCTCCAAAGATATTTTTCTCCTCTTTTTAAGATAACATGGGGTCGAAAACTTCACTAACAATATCATGAATCAATACAATTAAAACATAATTTTATCCCAATACCAAATCATATAGTGGACCAAAACCTAAAAATGATTTCTGTCTCTTTTATTTTTAATAAAGTTATCTCATTTTACTATAGTCGAAGAATTTCATTCTACGCAAAATTTTCTGCAATTGGTAGTTTATGAAATCCATCTATTATAAATCATCACTGAGTGTGAAGGTTTCCAATGGCTCAACGGTGTCACTCTTACCTCTCAATTTCAAAGAGGCTTCATGCTTTTGCAATTCTAAAACCCTCTCACCCGTTTGCATCTTTCTCTCAGGCATTTTATCAAACACTTTCACTACCTTCTCATTCAAAGAGTCAATTTCCACCTCTGAACTTCAATTTTGATTTGGATGATCCATCTCTACTGCAATTCCTCCAATTTCTCCAAAAGGATGATAAACATTGCCTTTCATCATTAGAACCAAGTAGAGATTTGATATGTTCTGCAATTTGGGTTTTAAGGGAAGATTGGAAACACGCATTGCGTGCTTTCGAATTGAATAGCGATTGTAATGATGAGAAAGCTTGCAACTTGATGATTTGGGTTTTGGGAACTCATGGAAAGTTTTCTACTGCTTGGTCCATTGTTCGAGATATGCATAGCTCGTCTCTCTCCACGCATCAGGCTATGCTTATTATCATTGATAGGTACATTGCTATTCATTATCCTTCTTATGAATGAATTCAAACACAAAATCATATGCCTTTTGTATTGAAATTGCTAGAATTGGTAGTAGTATGTAGGAAGGAAAAATATGAAGCAACATTCACTTTTGATGCTTAGGACTAAACATCTGGAGTGTGACCCAAGTGGCTCGATTGTGGATGGTCCACGAGTCTTAAATAGACTTTTAGCATGTTTGGATTGGCTTTTGAAAGACCCAGAATCAATTGTTGATGGTGTAGAATTGATTCCGGTTGATTTTGAGGTTTTGTTTTATCAAAAGTAGAATTGATTATGCGATTCTACTTGAAGCTAGAATTTGTAGCTTCTACCTCCATAATTGATTCTGGGTGATTATTACACTGATATTTATTGTTTAACTCACTTTTACATAAACGTATCCAAACATAAAACAATTCTGCTAAACTCAATTCTGCGAGCGAAACTCAATTCTGTTAAAATCAATTCTACCAAACTCAATTCCGCTAGAATCAATTCTGTTTACCACCAATCCAAACACACCCTTTGATACTAAGTTAAAATTGGGTTCAGCATAACTCAAAAATATAAATCCAATTTGTTAGGTGAAGGATACCTCCCGCATATAAAACATAGTTTTAAGTCGTATCACATCCAAAATGAAACTCTTAACATTATTTATTTATGCATAGCTTATAACCTATTAGGTTGTAATTTTTTTCTTGCAATTATAACCCCTAGTTCTTACTGTCGGGCTTCCGTTAAACTTTTATGGCTCATGTGACTGTCTTGTGTTTATGATAAATTTCACCAATTCTTGTTAGTGTCACACCTACTGTATTGATATCAGATAACTCTGTTATTTTATTTCAATCAGATATGCATCTGCAAATAACTCTGCTAAGGCTATTGAAACATTCAACTTTATGAACAAGTTCAGATTGACTCCTGATCAGAAAGCATTCCATGCACTTTTGACTGCTCTTTGTAAATATGGTAACGTTGAAGAGGCTGAAGAGTTTATGTTAGTGAACAAGAATCTCTTCCCGCTTGAAATTGAGAGCTTCAACATTATTCTTAATGGATGGTGTAACATAACAACTGATGTATATGAAGCAAAAAGAGTTTGGAGAGACATGTTAAAATACTGTATAACACCAGATGCTACTTCATATAGCCACATGATTTCCTGCTTTTCAAAGGAAGGGAATCTTTTTGACTCTCTTAGACTCTATGATCAGATGAAGAAAAGGGAATGGATCCCGGGGATAGAGATCTACAATTCTTTAGTGTATGTTTTAACTCGTGAAAATTGTCCAAAGGAAGCTCTCAAGACTATAGATAAGTTGAAGGAACAAGGTTTGCAGCCTGATTCTGCCACATTTAACTCCATGATAGTGCCTCTTTGTGAAGCTGGAAAACTAGCAATGGCAAGAATAGTGTTGAACACAATGATAGAGGAGAATATTAGTCCAACTGTTGAGACCTACCACGCATTTTTTGAAGCAACAGATTATCATGGAACTTTAGAATTTCTGAGTAAGATGAAAGGTTCTGGATTGAGTCCAAATAAGGATTCATTTCTTATAATTCTGGTAAAACTCTTTAAGTTGAAGCAGCCTGTAAATGCATTGAAAATTTGGGCCGAAATGAAGAAATATAAAGTGGTGCCCACTTGTATTCATTATAGAAAAATGGTTGAAGGGCTTGTAACATGCAGGTGGTTCATAAAGGCCAGGGATTTTTATGAGGAGATGATCTCAAATGGATGTTCAGAAGATCCAGAGCTTCACAAAATCATTCAGAAAGAAGTACTCGGTAGCGGTGATAAAAGAAAACAGAACGTTAAAAAGGCTAATAGTGATAAAGTGTGAGAGTTCTGAAAAGTGATAAGATGAAATGGAAAATTCACACAGAGCTGCATCCGAAGTAAATTTTTTGGCTGTGTCCTCCTGACAGTTCCTATATCTTACATTATAGCTTGGTCCAACACTGTATATGTGAGAGAGTCGAATATTCTCCAGCTGAATGTAAGTCCAAGAAAACACCTCTTTGGCATATAAACCTCCATAGTGATCCTTACTCAAACAATCCAAGATTGGTCAACTTACAAAATTACAAGTAATAGGAATACTTCCAACCAAACATTACGACAAAGTTATCATATCTCGGTGCTTGATGTTTTGACAGTTTGTGTGTGCGTATTATTGAATACTCTATCTGCATGTTGGTTAATATTTTGAAAAATATGAATATTTAGGATTGATTTCATTCACTACTCTTTTACCCACATTGTAGCAGTGGAAACACTCTTGACTGCCTAAAACATTTGACTTTTTTTTAAAAAAAAAAGTATTTTTTAAAATCTTTACCTGTAGCACTCGTTAGCATAACTCAATAATTATATGTGAGAAACCAATATTCATTTTAAAATGAAATGTTTGATATTGCTTGATCTTTCTTTTGTCGTTTGCTTATAAAAAGGAATATAGTCTTTTACTAAAAATGTAACTTTTAGAAAAAAGGAAAATGGGAAAAGAAAAAGTAAATGGCGCATGTAATTATGTGTGAAAATAAAAGACTAGATTTTAACCATTTGGTAGAGATTTTTCAAAACAGACCCTTGATGTGTTTCAAACTTTTAAGCTATAGTCTGATTTTTTTTTAATATTTTATATAAGTGTTTTGTTCAAGGCTTAACTTATCGATTGATCGCTCTTTTGGACATTTCGTACGGGTGTTGGTGGATATTGATTTGGTTAAGGAGCTTACTCACAAAATTCTGGTGGAACGTGTAGGATTTGCGTTCTTCGCGGAAGTTGAATACGAGAAACTGTCAGAATTCTGTTTGCACTGTAAAGTTATTGGACACTCATTTGCATCCTGCAAGAAAAGAACTTTCATGGAAGATGCAAAAGGAAATGTGAATGTTGCCAAGTCTCAGCACCAACAGAATAATGAGGAGCATCATTCTGAGTCACATCAGAATGATGTTGAAGCTGATAACATCGACAGAACCGTACCGATATTTAATCCTGTGATTATTGCTGATTTTACATATGGGAATTTACAGACAGAGATTCAGGAGGAACCACAACTTCCTTCTCATGTTGCCAGACCTTCATCTCACGTGCAGTCCCAGGGTGAGACTGAAAGTAATGTTGTTGCTGCTTTTTGAGGTCCTATTCTGGAGTATATTCCCCAACCTAACATTCCTTCACATGATTTGGTGTCGGAGTTTCAAGATCCGCCTGATTCTGATTTTCTGAAAGAATCATGGGCAAACCTGACTGAGTTTCATGAGGAAGAGAATATCAGTGAAGAAGAGGAAGATCCAAACTATATACCTCCAGACTTTCAACTTGCTATTTCTAAGTCTAAGAAAAAGAGAGAGAAGACAAAGTCTAAGGCAAAGAGCAAAACCACTTCCTCTAAGAGGGTGATTTTCAATCCTTTGCAATGAAGTGTATCTACTGGAATCTTAGGAGAATAGCCAATGCCCCTACAAGATTGGCTCTTAAAAACCACATAAAAGCTCACAATCCTGACCTCTGTTTTGTTGTTGAACCTTGGATGAACCATTTAGACCTTTCCACCAACTATATTAATTTTCTTGGCATCAAGTTGTTTTCCATTAATCTCCGTCCCAATTCTCTTCCTAACATGTGGTGTCTCTGTAAAAAAGACTTGGTTCCTAAAGTGATCTCTTGTACTGACCAACATATTTTTTGTACTATTACTCTTAACAACACTACTGAAATTGGTATCATTGCAGTCTATGCCTCAAACTGTCATATTGCTCGCAAATATCTTTGGGAAGACGTTTTTGTCACTATTGCTAAGCATCCCCTGCCTTGGTGTATCTTAGGTGATTTCAACGCCATAATGGGCGCTCATGAGCATAATGGAGCGCATTCCCCTAATAGAAGCTAGGGGTGACAAAACGGGTTGTGGCCCGCTGTGCTGGCCCGTGCACCCACCAAAATATGACAGGTTGGATTAAAATTTTGAGACCTCCACCCACCAAAAACCGCCCCGCTAAAGACCGCCACCCGTCAAAACCCGCCCCGCAAAAACCCGCCGCCGCCAAAGTCCGCCGCACGTATTCGTTTAGCTTGTCCCATCTTAAATTCGTCCTTTTTTAGTTAATTCTAGTAATTTCAATTTTTGATGGTTTTATTTTGTACATTTATTTGTAAATACATGTAATATTTTTTGAAGTAAAATTTCTTAAAAAGTTGCTTTATAAAAAATTTCTCTAAAAAATAAGTGAAAAATCTAATTGATATGTAAAAAAAACTTATTAATCTATTAAAAAATGAAAAATAAATAAATAAAAAAGTAGACGGACAAACCCACCGCCCTCCAACCCGCCATCTTGGCGGGGAGAGCTAGACTTTTATGTCCATTTTCACTTGGTGGGCTTGCCCGCCCCGCTATTTTTTTGACGGACTTAAGGCAGGTGGGGCGGGCGACCCGTTTTGACACCCCTAATAGAAGCCACATGGAAGAATTTAAAGTTTGGTCTGACAATAACAATCTGATATAAATTTTCCTACTAGAGGGCTATTATTCACTTGGAACAATAGTCGTCTTTGCAATGCTATGGTGGAGCGAAGGTTGGACAGGGCTTTTGAGAACAACCTTTGGATTACTATGGTTATCTTCATGTCTGTTTCTTTGCTTACCAAACATAGATCAGATCATCACCTGATTTTTCTCAAAGCTAACTTTGGTATCCTTAGACACCACTCTTCCTTCAAGTTTTTAAGTATGTGGTCTATGCACGATGGTTGTCACTCTTTAACTGCTTCAGTTTAATCCACCAACATTGTAGGTTATCTTATGTTTATTCTCTCAAAGAAACTCCAACTTCTTAAAGTCGGGCTCAAGGATTAGAATCATAACACTTTCGTAATATCCACATTAACGTGAAGACTGCTTCTGATAGGCTTCTTTCCATCCAAAATGACATTGACAACGAGGGTTACATATCGCGGCTTAGAGATTAAGAGATCAATGCTAAGAGAGATTTGGAGAAGGCTTTAGACATTGAAGAAAGATTTTGGCTCAAAATGTTTAGTCTTAATTGGCACCTTGAGGGAGATAGAAATATAGTGTTTTTCCAAAGAATTACCAAAATAAAAAATTCTAAAAGCACCATTTCTGTTTTGCACAGTGAAGATAGTGTCGTTACGAATCTTGTGGACATTGTTAACCATGTTGATGAGCATTTTACTAAACTTTTTTGTTTTGCAGATGTTTCTCAGGATTTGGATATGGTGGACATTCTTATTCCAAGTTTGGTCAATGATGACATGAATAAGTTGCTTACATACATTCCTTCTGTTAATGAAATAAAAAGGGTTGTGTTTAATCTTAATAAAGCTAGTGCTTCGGGGCCAGACGGTTATAGCGGTTTCTTCTACCAGACTTACTAGGATATCATAAAGTTGGACGTTTGTAATGTTGTTAATCAGTTTTTTGTTAGCGGATGGATTCTCCCCGGTTTCAACTCGAATTCCATCATCCTTATTCCCAAACTTAAAGAGGCTGACACCATGAATAATTTCAGGCCTATTTCCCTTACCAAGTTCAATATCATCACTAAAATTCTAGCGAATAGGTTGTCCATTTTCATGCCTACTTTGGTGTCTTCGGAGAAAAGAGATTTTATTCAGGGAAGATGCATTAAAGATTGTGTTTGTATTGCCTCTGAAGCTATCAACATTTTGCACAAAAAATCGTTTGGTGGTAATATTGCTTTGAAGGTGGATATCGCGAAGGCGTTTGATACTATTTCTTGGGATTTCCTCCTTAAAGTCCTCTCCAGGTTTGATTTCAACTCAATATTCTGCAACTAGATTCATAATATTCCCGCTTCTGCTCAGCTTTATGTCTGTATCAACGGTGCCGCTCATGGTTTCTTTAATTGCTCTAGAGGTGTCAGGCAGAGAAATCCTCTTTCTCCCTTTGTCTAGCCCAAGACGTTCTTAGCCGTGGTATTTCTAAGCTGGTGAATGATGGTGCTCTTAGCCTTACGAAAGCTTCTGCTACTCATTGCATTCCTTCCCAAATAATGTATGTTGATGATGTATTAATTTTCTACAAGGGTAAACTCAAAAATGTCAAAGTTTTAAAAGATTTTTTCAACAATTACTCTGCTGCCTCTAAGCAGAAGATTAATGCTGCTAAATACTTCCTTTATTCTAGTGATATCCAGCTGGTAAGCTTGCTCGTATCATCGCTTTGATCGGTTTCTCTCATGGCTCTCTTCCCTTCTATTATCTTGGAGTTCCCCTTTTTAAAGGTCGTGTTAAACGCGCTTACTTGCAACCAATTATGAACAAAATCATTTCTAAACTCTCCGCTTGGAAAGGCTCGGTTTTATCTATGGCTGGCACAACTTTACTGGTCAATTCAAATGTACAGGGGATTCTTACACACACTATGTCCATTTATTTCTGGCCCTCTTCCCTGTTAAAAGATATTGAAAAGAGCATTTGAAATTTCATTTGATATGGTTCGGTGGAGAATCATAAGCTTGTTCAAGTGGCTTGGAATAAGATGTGCAAACCTTTTTCTCATGGAGATTTAGGTGTCAGATCTCTATCCAAGCTTAATGAAGCTTGCAATTTGAAGCTAGCTTGGGACTTGATTACGAGTCACCCTCACTGGGCTGATATTCTTAACAATCATGTTATTAAGTTGTCTGGCCCGATTAAATACCATCTTTTCTCTTCTATTTGGGCTTCTATCAAAATTGAATATGCTTTCATTACAAGCATATGAGTTTGGTCGGCTGGAAACCATTTTAACATCCACTTCTGGTATGATATTTGGTGTGGCCTTCCTCTCATTGAAGACACTTCTA